TGTTCTAGCAGACAGAGGACAAAAGAGTGTCTCTCTCTCTCTCTCTCTCTCTCTCTCTCTCTCTCTCTCTCTCTCTCTCTCTCTCTCTCTCTCTGTGTGTGTGTTTACACAAATGGGGGCCAGTTGGGGACATGGCCTTGCAGATAAAGAACTTGTCAACATGAGAACCAGAGTTCAGATCCCCAGAACCCAGGTAAATTCAGGTGAGTGAGGCAGCTGTCCTATAATCCCAGCACTCAGACATCCCGAGAGACGCCCTTTTACTAGCAGCTCTTTACTTCATTTTGGGGATGGAGGATGCCTGCACCTTAGGTCGACAGGTGACTGGCACCATCTTCTGGCATCATCTGTGTGACACAGACTGATAAATGCCTTATTCAGGAATGAACGTGCTCCCCCACTAAGGCCATAAAGGAAGGTCTTCTCCAAACCTGGATGGTGGCTTCCCCATAGGCACATAAAATGGGAGAGGGAGAGGGAGAGGGAGAGGGAGAGGGAGAGGGGATCCCTGGGTAAGCTGGCTTACTAGATACAGCAGAATTGGTGAACTGCAGGTTCAATGAGAGACTCTAACTCAATAAAAGTGGGGAGCGACTGAGGACACCCAATGTCAACTTCAGGTCTCCACATACATGCACACACATATGGCCATGCAACCACACACACATGTGCCCACACACGTGAGCATGCTTACCCCCCTAAATGGCATCCTAAGCAGGAATCGTGTGGCCCATCGCCTGTCGATCATTGTGAGGAGCCATATTGCCTTGATGACCCAGTGCATCTGGTGATGTACTGTGCATGTAGACCTTGGCAGGCCAGTAGGCATTACTGGTGTGTGTGGAGGCTGAGGTAGTTTGTCCTTCTGCAACAAGCCATCTCCTGGCAGGTGGCACACTTTCCCCACTGGCCAGAAGGAAGTGCTGGGCTGGGCAGATTTACAGCTTTACTTCCCTAGGTTTCTGCCAGTTTTTTTTTTTTTTTAAATTTTATTTATTTTTCTTTTATGTGTATGAGTGTATTGACTGCATGTATGTGAGTGCACCCGTGTCATGCAATGCCGCAGAGGTCAGAGGAGGGCTTTGGATTCCCTGGAACTGGAGTTAAGGACGGTTCATAGCCGCCATGTGGGTGCTGGGAATCGAACTCGGGTCCTCTGCAAGAGCAGTCAGTGCTCTTAACCGCTGAGCTATCTCTCCAGCCCCGGTTTCTGCCAGTTTTATTCATTAGTTGTAAAAGCAGAGTGTCTGGAAGATTAGGTCCATGCTCCTCTGCCATCGGGATGTGTGCCCGTGGTGTCCGAGTCCCATTTTCAGCTCCCTCAACCATCAGAGGTGCAGCGGCGGAGTCTCAGGCACTCCAACAGCTCGGAGGCCACAGGGCCCCTTTGCGTGGCCTGCTTGTATCTTTAACCTTGTGCTGGGCTGTTTGTGGAGGCCCTGTAACTGATTTACACCTAAGAATGTTTCTACTGGAGATGTTTCTCAAGGTTTAAAGTTGGTACTTTTTGTTACTGTTGCAACAGTCCCCTGTAGCCAGACTGGCCTCCAGTTCACTAAGCAGTCTGATGTCCTGAACTTCTGATCCTCCTGCCTCCACCTTCCAAGTGCCAGGATCACAGGTTTGTTGCAGGTTTATGCCCAGCTTATGTGGTGCTAGGATCAAACCAGGGCTGATGCAGGTGAGGCATGCACTGTACCAGAGCCACATCTCCAACCCCTAGGTCTACAAGATTTCTTACTAAAGATCATAACCCCCTGCAATCCCAACTGTTTTCACACTCTTGAACGCGGGTCACTATATGAACTTGCTCATGTGCTCGCTCGGCTTGTCAGTCCAGGCCCTGCTCTTTAACTCTCCGTGTGGACAGTGAGGGTGCCTCTCAGTGGATGCTCCCCTGCACCTCTGGCTGGCCCTTGTGACCTCTGGGACTGAAGCCTCCATTGTGCAGGGGAGCAAGGCTGTGCCACCACTCTTCCCGCCTTGCTAAACTTCAGTCACCAACCAGATCCTTCATGCATGATCCCACGCTGTGTCCCAAGAGGCGACTTGCCACTTTGGCACCCATCACGAGAGCTCAATTTTGTCTTCCATTCAGCTTTGTAGCTCAGCACAATGTTGAGATTCACAGCTGTCGTCCTAGCAAGTCTGATCCCCAGCCCAGAGGTCTCTCACTCTAGAATAGAGGTTCCACTCGTCTGCTGGGATCCCCGTCTCTCGCCACAGGTCACCCAGCACTGATGCCCCTCACCTACATGCTGTCATACCCATGGGCCCTCACTCACAGGTCTGTCTTCCATGCTTTATTTTTAACTGTGAGCTACTCTGGGCTCATGAGAAGTTACCTTTGGGTTGAAGAAATAAGATAGTTTATTTTCCCAGAGGAGTCTTTAAAATGTTGTGTGTGCCACAGTGCACATATAGTCAGAAGGAAACTTGCAGGAATCCGTTCTCTTTGTACTGTATGGGTCCTGGGAACTGAACTCAGGTTGGCAGGCTCTGCAGCAAGCACCTTAATCCACCAGTCTGAGAAGACTCTTCAGTCACCTTTACTGAGTGGCAGAACACTGTTAGCCAGAACCACCTCACCTGGGCTTGTGGCTCAAGGTTCCCTTACTACGAGGGACACTCACCCAGGGAGTGGTTTGTAGGGGGCTCTGGGCGGAGCCTCCCCTGATCCCGTATCTAGGGACCAGCTCTAGGGGTGTGGACCACTCTCACACTGACCATAGTTAGTTCTTGATGTGGCTGTGGGTTCTACTCCATTCACACTGGGACAGTAAGTGCATACATATCCTGTGTGCTGTTACTGTATTACTGCCATACACTTATTCAGAGGGTCAAGAATGCAGTCATATTCTCTGGCTCTAGTCACACCTGCCTCTCTTGCACCTCTGCAGGTCAGGCATTGCCTTTGTGCCTGGTGTCCTGTCTGTCTCCATGTCTTGGGCCCACCCTCATCCTGGTCCTTGTACTCTAGTGCCCTGGGCTGTGTGTGGCATAGGGGCCCTTGGTGGGTGCCCGACCAGAGTATGCCTCTTGGTCACACTGAGCTGGACAGGCAGAACAGATATTTGCTAGTCCTCCCCAAGAAGGATATCCCAGCTGGTCTGCACAGTGGCAGACAGTGTGGGTGAAGGAGCCATTTCATCCACCATGCTGCCTGCTGTGCCTGGCTACCACTAGCCCTGACCCACAGGCTTCAGGCATGTTGTACTTGTTTTTTTCATGTATATGTGGCACACATGCATGTGGAGGTCAAAGGTTGATGCAGAATATCTTCCTCTGTCACTTTTGACTTTATTTACTGAGGCAGGGTCTCTCGCTGAACTCATGGAGAGCCCATTAGGCTCTAGTTAGCCAGCTTGCCTTGGGGGATCCCTTTCACTGCCTCCTGAGACCTGGGACTACAGGCAGCCACCATGCTGACCCAGCATTTATGTGGCTATAGGAACTCAAACTCTGGTCCTCAAATCTGCATGACATGTTTTTATTCACCAAGCCATCTCCCCAGCCCTTGACATTCCTAGAACGTATGGCTAGCCAGACATTTCAACTCTTTGAGCCAAGATGGAGCAGCTGTTGAACCCAATGGCCTGTCTGTGCCTCTTCTAGGTGTACCTACAGGGTCAGCGGTCCTTTTGGCTGCTCTCCTCAGGGGAGGTCAGATGCTGAGCCTGGATATGAAGGCCCATCGGGGTCTTTTGGGGACCCCGGAGGAAGAGAGCAGCACCTCCCCAGTTGTGGTTTCTGGCTCCCACAAGAACTACAGACTTTTACCTCTGCCATCTTTGACCCCAAATGTCACCTCTAACGGGCTCTTGGTTTAAAACTAGACCAGGTCATGTCCCTGGGAGGGAGGTGAATGAGGGGATTGGTGGGTGTGTGCGGGGGGAGGGGGGGCGGCGCTGGGCTACCTAGGGACCAGGAGAGGGAGTATGGGGGCTTGTGGGAAATGCTTCCAGATGGCAGAGTGGCTGCTGCTTTCCCCCTAACTTCATCGTGGCAACAGCTCTGGCTAAAGCGCCCCAAACTCAAGAGACCAGGCAAGGACATAGTTGGAAATCCTGCCATGTATTTTTTAGGACTCTGTATATAACATTTCCAGCGGCAGAACTAAGGGATCTTGATGCAAACCGTGTTCCCGCAGCATGGAGGGCAGACACCTGACTGGCAGCGGCACCAAGGTCCTCACCAGGGTGGTGATGGCCACCCACATTTGCTACAGAGAAATGAAGTCTCTGTCAACCGCAGGCAGGACCAGATCAGCATGTGAGAGGGTCCTCCCCACGACGTCACTGTCACTAGCCATGCCAGCCACCACAGTTCTGTCCATGTAGATGATGTCCTCAGACGATACTCCGGGTGCCTTCGGGAGCCTCTTGGGTGCTGGTGGCCTCCGGTCCTCAGAGCTCATTGTGCCGTGCTCTTGAGACCCTGCTGGACAGGTCCTGCAGGTGCTTCTTCACCTGTGGATGGAGACACCTGTCAGCCAGGGCTAGTGCGGCATGCCCGCCAGGCCATGAGATTGCAAGGGACCCGAAAACCCACACCACACTCTGCTCACCTTCCACTGCACAACACAGAACTTGTCAGTGGTAATGACAGTAGCTCAATGTGGACCCAAAAAATACAAATATTAAAAACAGCCAGCCAGAGTGCATCTTCCCCAAAGGGCTCTGACACTGCCCCAGCCGCCTGCCCTTTTTTAAAACGTTTATTATTTTTATGTGTATGAGTGCATTGCCTGCATGTATGTGAGTACACCCGTGTTGTTCATGAACCCGGGTCCTCTGCAAGAGCAGTCAGTGCTCTTAACCGCTGAGTCATCTCTCTAGCCTCTGCCCTGTTATTTTTAGAAGATTCTGTGAAGGTGGGGGCTCATCCTCATGGTGGCAGATGCCTGTAGTGGGGTGCTGAGGGACTCCACTTTTGACCCCTTAGCACCAGAGCTGCACTTGGCCACACACCTTCTCCATGGGCCGTACTGTCTTTCCTCGAGTCAGGAGTCCACGTGTCTGGGACCCCAGTGCAGAGAGGACAGGTGTGTGTGTGGTGGTGGGGGTGGAGGGACGACAGAGCGTGCAGCGCACCGCACCCACCTTGTAGCCCAGCTCCTTGGTCTTCTCCTCCAGCAGCGCATACTTTTCCTTGTTGTGGCTGATGTGCTCTCGGTCACCGATGCTCTCCACGTGCTTCAGCTTCTGGTGGGAAATTTCCAGCTGTTTCTGGTAGTGGTTATGCTTTTCAATTTTGGCCTCAAAGTGCTTGAGCTCCTCCTAGAATGTTTTGACAACTTAATTTCCTCCAACATGGGGACCTGAGGTGCCTGTCTCTGGTGCAGCAGATGATCCTGTCACTAAGGTCACACCTGAGAACTGGCAGGTACTTACTAAGGGTCTCTAAAACAGGGAGTGTCCACCAGAACACAGTGGCCACAGGGATCTTTGTACTCATTCCCGAAACCTGGTGCCAGTCGGCCCCTCTTTCCCATGCTGACCCTGCTCCTACCCCTCACACCTGAGTGTGCTGTCTCTGGGAACAGCACCCCACCTGCTGGGCATCCAGTTCCTTCCTGGTCCCAGGTATGGCTGACACCCAAGGCTCAGTTTTACCACAGCTGTCCTGCACCCTGTTCTCTCCATCCCTTCCCCACGGGCCTGTACCCCAGCTCCTGGCAGCCAGCCCACCCTCTGCTTTGAAGAGATCTAGGTCCTGCAGGGTCCTGCTGCTTACCTGCCTCCTGCCCTGCCAGCTTTCTTCTGTGCTCACTCACAGCTGAGCCTAGGGCCACGTGAGCTCACATGGATGAGTGTGGACATGTGTCAGCCCTGCTGCACCTGCCTCCCGAGGGAAGGGTGCCTCTGCTTCCCACAGGCCTCCAGCTGCTGGTACCTCCCTTGCTTGCTGCCTTTCACCTCATGGGTCCCATGTTCGCTGGGAGCTCAGTGGCAACCTCTAGAACCCCGACACCTGGAACTTCCTGAACACACTGGAGGAGCCCTGGACTCTGAGGGACCTCAAGCCACACAGGTCCCAAGCACGCCTCTCCCTACCCCAGGCTCGTCTCAGGAGGCAGCAGCTCTCAGTAGTCCTGTCTACCCACCCTAACCTTCACTTGCACCCTAGCCATGCGGGGCTCTGTCAGAACAGGCCTGCTTGACATCTTACTGTCTCTGCCGGACAGCTCGATCCACTGGCCTCCTGCAGCTCTTACTGCACCGGGCACCCTGGCCCTCTCAGCATTGCACAGTGCAGCGCCAGGCAGAGACTCGGCCAGTTGAAAAGGTTAGGGGTAACAAGGGTCAGAACAAAACCATGAACACCCTGGGGCATGAGGGTGGCAGAGAACCTGGCCCCATTAGAAACTGGCAAGAATGGAGGTAGTCATCACAGAGGGGAGGTACCTCCACTTTGAAGCTTCCTTACCCGAAATGACTCCAGCTCCTTCTCGGTGAAGTTGGCGGACTGAGCCAGGTCCCACAGATCTATCACTCGGGGCTCTTCAAACTCTGCAGGACAGCAAGAGCCATATGTCTGGGTGGATTGCATGGCAGTACACATTCCAGTGCTGGAGGCCCATGTGGCCTGTAGGCTCAGGGACCAGTGTGTAACTTCTCTGAAGTGCACAGGGCTCCTGGTGTGATGCTCACAGGATCAGGATTGTATCAGGATCACCACTGTCTGTGGTGAAAGGGCTGCATCCCCTGTTCCTGCCTGCCTCCGAGGGAGTGAGTGGGAAGGTGGGGGCCACTGGGGAGGGCTGACTGCCACTGAGGTCTAGGCTGGGGCTCGGCTGTTCGCCTTTGAGCTCCTGTGTAAGCCACAGCCCCTTGATGTCTGCCAAGGGTCCCCATCTCTGTCCCTCTGGCCACCCCTGAGCAGGAGACCCCATTCTGCCTCCTCTCAGCTGACCCTTCCTGCCTAGGACACAAGGGAACCCTGGCTTTGTTGGGGATCAGGGGAAGGGAGGATTATGTAGGCCAGCAAGACAAACCAAGTCAGCTAGACGCGGCTATCTAGGAGATGGTTCATGTGGAGAGGGAGTGGGACTCGACAGGAGAAGGGCAGTGGTCAGGGAGGAAGAGCTGCCACCTAGCACACTGACCACCATGGCCAGCCAACCTTGGGTTCCCATCAACCAGTGACACTAAGACCTCACAGCTGGCCTACAAAGTAGACTGGTTACCTCCATGGTAAGTAGTCCTGGGAGGTGGCATTATGACCTTCACAGCAGGCTGTGAAAGCCCAGTACATCTGCCCACAGTGTCTGCAAGACCTCACCTGGGTGGGTGGACAGAGAGTCAGCCACACTGTCTAAGCTGTGAGCTCAGGATTTTGGCCCTTGATGGCTGCTGCCTCTGTGTTTAGGGACAGAAGTCGGGTGGAAATGGACAGCAGATAGTAACATCCCCACCCAAGCTCTGTGGGCCTGGAGGCCCAAGGTCAGAGCAGAGAGCCTGGCCCTTCTACAGGGACTTGGAGAGCAAGAAAGTTTGTTCTAGGTGCTGAGGGTAGAGTTGTCACTGCAGCATAAACTGCATCCTGCTCCAAGGGCAGGATGTCTGAGAAAGGGTCAGCCCAAGATTAGAGACAACGCTGAGCTCCTGTGAAGGGGAGTCGGGGAGGGGTGTACAGGAACAGAACTGAAAGAGCCCAGTGGGTGTGCTGTGTTTACGGAGACCAAAGAGCCAGTCTGGAAGGGGCTGCTAACTGGAGGCCACTCTGCTACCACCTCAAACCAGTTTAGTAAGAGGGTTAATGAGGATGAATTCAGACACTCATGACACAACTCCAAGAAGTGGGGAAAATCTCCCAGGCACCCCTGGGCTCATGTACCTGTTCCTTATGCGTGCACAGTCTTCCTACCCCTAACATAAGCAGACAGCACAAGGCAGGGCATAGAGCTTACCAGCGGTGGGGCTGTAGCCCTGGTGGCTGACCTTCCTCAGGCGGTCCAGGCCCTGGGTGATGCTGCGCAGTCTGTCCTTCAGCTCACTGTGCTTGCTGTACAGGACGTCATTCTTGATGTGGCTCATGTCAGAGGGACTAAGGAGGTTCTCATAACCTTCTGTGGAACAGGAAGCAGAATGCCTGATGAAGACATCCCCCTGTAGTCCTGGGGCCCCTGTGGCCAAGGCAGCCCAGAGCCTGCCCACCTGCTCTGAGTGTTAGCTGATGGACTTGCCTTTTCAAACACAAGGTGTGTATACTCCAAGGACAGACAGATGCCTCAGTATCTGTACCTGAAGGCCTGTCCTAGGGACTCGTGCAACGAGCACAAACACCATTTGAACTCACATTGTGGGTGGAAACCTGAGAAAAGTGTGCCAGACCCCCGCCCTAGGTGACCGTGTAGCCCTGGGCCCAGGTGAGGCATCCAGCAGATAGATGCCACTCGACACACCTTCGGCTCTGGTCAGCGTATCCAGCAGCACGTTGTACTCATGAACCTTTTCTTTGTGGTGCAGAAGCTCTCGCCATAGCTTGTCTAGTTCCTCGCTGGAGAATTTCCCTGAGGTCTTTGCCTAAGAGGAAAGGGATCCTGGAGTGACCACACTTTGGGGTCTTGTCATCAGTTCACCCTCAGGGGGCTTGGGCCCGTCTGCTGACCACCCCTCACAGCTCCGGCAGAATCCTTACTAAGTGCAAAGCACTGGGGGTTGTTCTTGGCCTCTGCAAGCCTCACGCCTCTACTAAGTATGCGCTCCAGGAAAAGAAAAACCAAACCGGGAAGGAGCTGTCACCCAACAAGTGTCTTTTCTTGCTGTGCCCAGATCTGGCAGGGAACAGTGATAAGGGCTGGTAGGGAGAGGAAGGGCCCTGGGGTGGTGGGTGCTCACATCTGCTTGGCTCTCCTGGTTGTGCAGATAGTGCGGGCAGCAGGGCCATCTCCCTGGAGGACCTGGGCCTGTCATTTGTCATCCCCCTTATCTCTAGGGCTGGATGGTGACAGATGGGCCAGTGTGACACACAGGAGGCACATTCCACAGCCATGTCTCCCTCCTGCCCTTTTGGCTACCTTCCACCTGGCCATCTCCCATGAACCCACACAATGAGCCAGGACGAGAATTCCAATCAGTGTGGGCCCGAATCAGTGTGACCCAGATGTGCTGTCTGAATAAGGAGAAGGGACAGGGAATTGGAAGGAGTGAGCATGTGGCACCAAATCACCACCTCCCAATGCATACTCCCCACCAGCACCCTGTGGTCTAGCTCTGTATCCCAAAGCAAAAATGGGCCAGGTCAGTACTGCCCACTCTCCAAGCATAGTGCCAAGAACCCACCCGACACCTGCACACAGCTTTCTCAAGGATGGAAGCAGAGCCAAGGACAGAATCAAACACAAAGCCAAGACCGCAGCCACCTGACCTTACACACGTGCAGTTTGGCTACACTCAGGACACGCCTACTGTCTGAAGTCCCAACAGCCAGAAACCCAGTAGATTCCGCCGCTAAGCAAGAATAGCCAACAGACTTTTCAGGAAGGAGAAAACTACCATGGAAGCTAGCAGCCACACACTGGGCTGCACGCAGAGCAGGGGCTGAGCATGATGATAGCAGGGACGGAGCCCCAACAGCCCCACACCGTGACTCTCCACAGGTCGACACAAGTTGTAGAAAGTAAGGAAAATTTAAGGGGTACCTTATGCCACAGCTTCTCCAGCCTGGGGTCCCCCAGCTCATCCTGGACGTCATCACTCAGTGCATTGCTGTGCACCACCTGGGTGTCTTTCCTCCCATCTAGTCCGTACCTGGCCAAGATGACTAGAAAGGAAACATTAAAAAAAAATTTTGTTATTTGCCATCTCTCTAGCCTGTTACTTTTATTTTATGAGTGTATTGCCTGCATGTGTGTAAGGGCACTCATGTCATGCAATGCCCAAGGATGTCAGAAGAGGGTGTTGGATCCCCTGGAACTGGAATTATGGACGGTTGTTAGCTGCCATGTGGGTTCTGGCAACTGAACCTGGGTCCTCTGCAAGAGCAGCCAGTGTTCTTAACCACTGAGCTATCTCTCCAGTCCTGAAGAGGACATTTTATTTTTTATTTTTTTTGGTGTTTTTGAGACAGGGTCTTCCTATAGTCCCAGCTGTCCTGGAACTCGCTATGTAGACCAGGCTGGCCTCAGACTCACAGAGATCTGCCTGCCTCTGCCTCCCAAGTGCTGGGATTAAAGGTGTGCGCCACCATGCCCGGCCTGACATTTTATTTTTACTGAACACTGTTTCATCTGACAGTCCAGAACTGACACAGTAACGCACAATTTGAGCTTGTGAAGTAAGCTTGCTTCTTACTTTTCTGGAAGTTTCCTTTTACCCCTAATTTCCTGAGTGACCATACAAGATCACATACATCAACCCAGGTGCTCTGAGCCCCTGGTATTTATGAGCATGGTTAGAGACTTACAGGACATCATGGTCACTGCAGATGTTCCCTATTTGAGCCCTCCTGAACCAGGAGCTTGTGGGCAGGGAGGGTGCAGCTGAGATAAGCCAGGAAACATGGGATGGTTTCCATAGGCCCACCAGATAGAGTTTTAAGAACATGTCTTTCTGACATATGTGAAACCCTGATAAAAACAGCATAGGACAGTCCCCTGGGTGTCAGGGTGATGGCTGGGGGCTGCTGACACTCCAGATCACACACTTGCCTATAATATTGCATGCCAGCAGCCAGGAGAAGCCAGCCAGAAGGGTGCTACTGCCTAGCCTCTGGGATGCCCAGGCTCACACCCACAGTCCCTCCACCCTGGAGGACTTGGCACCTCTTGTCATCAGCACACAATAGGGGAAGCCTGACAGCTAGCTCCAGAAATACAGGAAACCGGACCTGGTCTCTTCCTCTTGCCAATGTCTGCTCTAACTTCCAAGCCCTTCATGCAGGTACTCAGTCAAGCTCTGGCTCCATGGTACAAGCCCCTCCCAGCCAGGCCACCCTGGAACTCAGTACCCATCCTAGTTGCCTCTGTCCCATCCCACTTGCACCCACCACCCACACTGCAGTTACATACAAAAAAAAAGTTTAAAAAACATTTTTATTTTATGTGCGTGTATTGCCTGCATGTATGTAAGTGCACTTGTGTCATGCAATGCCTGCGGAGGTCAGAAGAGGCTGTCAGATCCCCTGGGCCTGGAGTTAGGGACAGTTGTTAGCCACCATGTGGGTGCTAGGATTCGAACCTGGGTCTTCTTCGAGAAGGTTCAGTGTTCTTAACTGCGGAGCCATCTCTCCAGCCCAATAAATAAATATCTTAAAAAAAAAAAAACCTTAGAAAAAAATTTAAAGTGCACAGTGGTTTGTGCCTATAATACCAGCTACTTGGGAGGTTGCAGCAGGACTGCTTAGGAGTTTGGAGCCAGCCTGAGCAACATGGTGAGATCAGTGCTCAGATGCCTCCAAGTCGTAGAGCCAGCACAGCTGGAAGATGCTCCCACCCAGGACAGTGACGAGCCAGAGGACACTGGCCACTAGCTTGCTTCCTTGGGTGCTCTGTGTCCCACTACCCCTGAACCCCACCCCGTCCTTGTAGGAGTTGGCTCCCCTGTGCCTTCTGGAAGGGTTGATGGCCCAGCAGCCTCCAGGTCCTCCATGTGTACACTTCCCTCTCCTGTGGATCAACTCCACATTCACAATCAGGCCTGAGGACAGGGCTCTAAAGAGCAACTCGTGTCACTGCAGAGCAGGGTGTTAGGAAGTAGGGACTGACAGCGTCCCCTGTCAGACAACAGGTGGCAGAGCTGACAGGACCCCACTGCACCTCCTCTGTGCTGGAGTGCAGAAGGCCAGTGGTCAGTCCACGGTCTATGTCCTGAATACCACAGGGTGGTACACTAACCTCTTCCCACCACTGCTTCCCTGGATGCTGAGGGTGTGGGGAGGATGGCAGGACGGCAGGAGAGGGATCCTAGGAGCAGTCATACCTGTCTTCTAAGGACCTAGATCTAAGCCGGGTGTGGTGGCGCACACCTTTAATCCTAGCACTCTGGGAGGCAGAGGCAGGAGGATCTCTGTGAGTTCCAGGCTAGCCTGGGGCCTGGTCTACATAGTGGGTTCCAGGCCCAGCTGGGGGCTGGAAAAAAAAAAAAACTAAAGACCTATTCCCGATGACACAAGCCAGTACATGCTGTCCAGGGTGGATAGGAGCTCTGTAAGGAGACATGCAGGGCAGGCCTCACCAGCACAGTCCATTCTGAAATCAGACCTGCTTCCTCATCTGACTGACAGCATCCCATGTCCCCCTAGTCCCTTCCTGGCCAAGCAGCTCCAGGACAGTTGGTTGCCTAGGCATCAGTGTGCCAAGTTCCCAGCCAAGGGCATCTGTCCTCAGGGGTGAGGCACCTCACGAGCTACACTCCATGTCCCCAATACCCTCGCCCTCCTCTTGGCCCAGAACCAGTGAGTCAGAGATACGCCAGACTGCTGGCCATTCCCACACTGAAAACAGAGAAGTACCGTTAAGGTTGTGACTCAGCTTTGCTTCCTTCTCCCCGTCCTTGTCTAAGCCTTCAGCCTTCAGCTTCTTCCAGCTGAGTTCGTCCCTTTCTTGTATCTTCAGATCAGAATGGAGTTCGGCCAGCTTCACAGGAGACAGATGCAGCTGCCCAGGGAGAAAGACACGGTATGTTTGACAGCATGCTGTGTGACAGACCAAGGGCAATGAGCCTGACCCAGGGAAAGAGTGACTGGGAGATCTCAGAGGACTAGAGGGGACAAGGTTGGGGTTGCTGACAAGACTCGAAGTTCTGGACAAGAACTTCACAGACCAGCCTTATGCCAGGAGCCCGGCTAGAGACTGGCTGGTCTTTGCTGGGAAATCAGCTCAAAACACAGCTGAGGCCAGATCTAAAAATCCCAGGTCCCGTAGGATGCTACCAAGCTGTCAGCAGCTGCCTGAGGCAGGGCCTCCTGAAACAGAGTACCCACCTTCCCCAGGCTGGTACCTGGAGATATGTACCCGGTAAAGGGATGGGGTGGATACAGAGGCACCAACGAGGGGTTGGACTTGGTGAAATGCATTGTTTTTTTCTTTATGCTCAGTATAAAAAGAAAAGAAACTATCAAAAGGAATAAAAGACTAAATCTACAGAAAACTTCCAAGTAAAATCTTAATTTTTGACAGGACTGAATCTAAGGCCTTGTGCATGCTATGTGTTTGGCCAACACAGCAGGCTTCCCCTTTGATCTCTAAAGAGGACAGGTTTTAACAGCCCTGCTCTCCCCCCCCCCACAACTTAAAAAAAAAAAAAAAATCTTCCCGCCTTCTGCAGGAAGCAGAAGCCTCCCTTTGAAAAAGACCCCAGCTCAAGACCCAGGCAGACATTTTCCCTGCCCAGAAGGGAATCTGTCCCATGTGTTCCTTTGCTAATAAACCCTTTTTTGATGGAGTTTTAGGTGTGCCTCAGTGCCTCACTTCCATTCACTCGTTCTCATGCAAACTTTTTACCTATCACTATGTAAGCACTCTACCACAGGGAGACTCTGCACAGGGACTGAGCTCTCAGGCTCAGAGGGTCCAGAATCACCCAGTGCATTAGTGACTGCTGCAGCAGCCCCAGGGCATGGGGACCTGTGGATTGAACGGAACACAAGGCAGCTGTAAGAGGGGAAAGAATTGGGTCTCTGGGACCCACAGTTCCCCTCCTCCTAGCAACAAGGACAGCCCTTTGCTCCCCTACTCTCAAGGAGTCTTGCAACACACTAGGCATGTAACAGCACTGAGTCAGGACAGACATGACCCAAGTCTCTGTGGTACGGCTTGTGCTAGGTGTGTCTATGAAACAGGAACTGGGTAATGCCAGAGCCAGGGCAGGAGGGGCTAGAGTAACACGAAGCAATGGTACCTTGGCCTAGTCTCACACGATGGAGGTGTTCCTCTCCACAGAGCTCACTCACCACACTCCACTCCCTGGGGTACCTAAGTCTTAAGGCTGACCTCAGCTCTTCCAAAGGTGGGTTGGAAGGACAGCGAGGCAAACAGCTCTGCCACACTTTTTCTCTGACCTTATATACAATAAGCTGTCATTCACTATGATATATAAATACATTTTATATAAAGGCAGAATGTTTCCATCAGACAAACTGAAGGATAAAACCTTGCTGGGCAGTGAAGGAAGATTACCAAGAACACTGGTCACCTGACTAGGGTCAATTCTGTCCCACAAGAGACCACAACTCAGGAAGAGCTTTGGTGGGATCAGTCACCTAAAGCAGCGGGTGGGCAGTGACTAACAGGCTGATAACCCTGACCCACCCAGGAGGAGGGTGTCCCATTCTAAAAGTTTACATGTTTATATGAAGGATAAGAAGGCTGAGGGACTGAAGCTGATCCTCCCCACCCCCCAAGCTTTGCAGCTGGGACACAACTCACAAGCTACTCTGTAAGCTTCCTTGTCTACACACAAAACAGAAAGACTCAACAGGTCCTAGGTTCTGGAAGAGGAGAGTAGACACAAGACACTCAAATAGAAGCCACCCCAAAGAAGTGTCCCACTCTGCTCAGTAGACAAGGCTCACAGGCACCCCCAACTTCAGGGCTTGAGGTTTGGAAGGACATGCAGCCCAAGGGGTGAGGGGAGCAGCCACCCTAGCAGTGACCATAAACTGAGGACAATAGGGAGAGATGTGACCTGATGCTGGGGCAGGGAAGGATGCAGGGACTGTACAGGGACAGCACGAGGGCAGGTGATCTGCCACAGCAGGTCTGAGGAAGCCACCTGGACATGCAGGTGGAGGGCTTGGAGCAGGCTTCTGAAAACTAAAGGAATGCCAGGACCCATGGGCACCAGAGAGTATTTCCCTTACACAGCCTCCAGCTCCATCAGACCAGTGTCTTCCTGGCCTTCTGTCATCATCCTGTGAACACACCCAACACAGTGGATGCTGGGAAAGAGTGGTCAGCAAGAGTAGGCCCTGTGCTGCAGACACTCCTGGTCATATTAACTCCCAGCTATGCCCTGGTCCCCTTTTCCAGAAAGTGGGTCTCTCCAGCCCACAGCACTGTCCCTGGCCTCTGTAGACTGGACACTGTACTATGCCTTCTCAGAGCAGAACCCCCCAAATACTGGCTGGGCACTACGCTGGGCCCAGTGGCAGCTAGGCTGGGCCCAGTGGCAGCTAGGCTGGGCCCAGTGGCAGCTTGGCAAGGGCTGGAGGGGGCTGTGTGTGGAACATTACTCCCTCCCTCCAGGGTCCAACAGTCCCTCCCTTCTAATCCTCCAGGGCCAAAGTTTCTCCACAGTTTTCTTCTAAAGCTCTTGTTTTGCAAATTATTTACTAGACTCAGGAATGTTTAAACTGGAGGGTTTAAGGGCAGGGTCGCTCTACAATTCAGAGATGAAGATACAATGGCCCAGAGGGTCTGTTATAAGTATCTGTTTCCCTAAACACAAGCCCAAGCCCAACCAAAGAAAACATTATGCTAATGAACTTATGCCCCAAATCTCAGCCCAGCCAGGAATGGCTGACCTTGGAGATGTTTATTCCCTCAGGGCCTCGCTTTCAGCATCTCTAATTGGAAGAGGCTCAGATTAAGATATCTGTTAAATCTGACTTCAGCATTTCCCCAGGTCGCCTGCTCCGCCCTCAGTTCACTGGCCCTCCCCCACCTCAGCAGATGCTGCCCCCAAATCAACCAGCTCCAGCTGCTGTCCCTGTACCGTCGCCCCTCGGGTCACCTGCTTTTTACGTGTAAGCTTAGAGAAGAAGCCTGCAAGGCAGACCCCCATGGAGACGGCGCCTAGGTATCTCTCTAGACCAGTGGCTCTCTGGGCAGAGCGCGCAGGTGAGTACGACCTGGCAGGACAGCATCCCTCATCCTTTGGGGTCCCCAGCTACACCAAAGCACCACTGCCCCGTGGGGCCAGCAACGAGGTCTTCTTGGGCCTTTGGGTCTCTGCTGAGCAGGTGAGGTCCGCACGGCCCACCTGCTGCAGGTGAGACCCAAAGCCTGGGGGAAGCGGCGCAAGGACCGGCCTTGAGGACCCCAGGGCTGACCCCGAGTGCTCAGCGGCCCCGGCCGCCTCGGGCCCCCGGCCCTGCTCACCTTCCCCCGCAGCTCCCCGGCCCCCGCGGGCTCCCCCTACCCGGCCCCCGCTCACCCGCTGGGCCTTCTCCCACAGCTGGTTGAGCTTCTCCATTCGGAACTCCTCCCCGGGCTCGCGCTTGGCGGGAGGCTCGGGCTCGTTCTTCTCTCGCGAGTACTTGCCACCATGGCCGGCCGCGGGCCGCGGCACGAGCAGCAGAGGCAGCAGCAACAGCAGCAGCACGGACAGCGGGCGCGGGAGCAGCACAGCGACCCTCTCCTTCCGCGACGCCATCTTCCTCTGCAGCACCAGCCGCTCGCCCACCGGAGGACCCGCCCGCTGCCCGGCCTCTGGCCCCGCCCACTCCGTCGGCTCTGGAGCCCCGCCCACCTGTCGGCCTCTGGCCCCGCCCACCTGCTCCGCCCGCCTCCCCGCCACCCCAAACTACAGCTGCAGGCCTGGGAGGGCGCGGCCTGCAGGACCCGGGGTGTCGCGCAGAGGCCGGTGGACAGACGTTTCCTCGGTCGCTACCGGAGGCTGTGGACGGGACAGGAGGCCAGCCGCTCTCCAGGGCTCTGTCCGAAAAGGAGGGAAAGCTGGGCAAGCCACGCTCCTGGGTCTGCAGAAGGGACAGGAGAGTCATCTGGTGGGGATGACCTGAAAGTCTCCAAGAGGGAGCAAGGGGGTCTTTAGGGGAATTAAATGCTTATTGGTTTAACTTTAACCTGTGTCCTGTGTTTTGCCAGAAAGGGGTCAGGGTGCCTGGATTTCTTCTGGTTCAGGCAGGAGTGTAGAGGCAGCCCCTGGAACGCCATCTTTCCCAGCACAGGCTTCCAGCTGCTTGGTAGTTAATGTTTAATGCACTTACCTGCTTATTGGTTAGATTAGTCTAAGTCTTCTGAAATGCATGAAGGCCCCAGAGCAGGGTTCATCTTTACTCTGGCTCCAGTTGAAGGCAGATTTGCTCCAGGTGGTGGTGGGTGGTGGAGCCAGGCCACCCCACTTTCCTCTCAGAGTTCCAAGACTGCTTCCCACAGGCAGAAAGAGGTCGGTAGACCAGTTCTGTCACCTCTGCACAAGCCTCAGTGCCTAGAGCCTCCCCGGTGCATCTTAGGCTGGGAATGCTGGGTAGCAGTTCCCCCAAGGAGAGGGAACAAGAGAGATGCCCACCTTTTCTTAGTCTGAAGAGAGTCCACAGTGGACAGAGTACCATGCAAGCAGCCTTTTAAATCCCACAGAGTCAACAGAAGTCATGAGACCATGGAATGCATACATGTACACGATCATGGAAATACAGAACACACAGTCATGGATAGCATATTACAACATGTGTGCTGCATAGCTCTAGTTGTCAACTTGACACACCTGGGTAGAGGGACCCTCAAATGAGGAATCGTCTCCATTGGACTGACCTGTGGCCGTGTCTGTGGGGCATCTTCTTGATTGTTGAGCGATGTGGGAGGGCTCAGCCCACTGTGGGTGGTGCCACTCCTGGGCAGATGTGCCTGTAGGTCTGAACATAGATCAGGAGAGCAAGGCAGTAAGCAGCATGCCTCCATGGTCTGTGCTTCCTTCAGGTTCCTGTCTTGGCTTCCCTTGATGATGGACTATGGACTGTAAGTCAAATAAACCATTTCCTCTCCAAGTTGGTTTTGGTCAGTGTTTTTATCACAACAATAGAAAGAAACAAGAACCACATGTCAAAGAACAGAAAGAGCTATTGGAAATGGAAATCTGAGAACAGATCTGAAAATCCAAATAGCATAATAAGAAAGATAACTTAAAATTTTTATTTGTTACTTTTATTTTATGTGTATGAGTGTTAACGCTTGAATGTATGTAGGTGCACCCATGTTGTGCAATGCCTGAGGCAGTCAGAAGAGGGTGTTGGATCCCCTGGAACTGGAGTTATGGATGGTTGTTAGCCACTATGTGGGTGCTGGGAGTTGACCCTGGGTCCTCTGCTAGGGCAGCCAGTGCTCTTAACTACTGAGCCATCTCTCCAGGCCTGAAAGATAACTCTCTTATTATGAGAAAAGACGAGAACGCTGAGAAAGCGGACTGAAGTTACGAGGGTATGGTCACCAGGATGGAAACAATTCTGTTTCTAATCAAAGAACCCTATTATTCCATTACCAAGAGTTTCAGAAAACACAGAGAAGAGCCAGCGAAGTGGTTCAGTGAGTGAGGGCACTTACTGACAAGCCTAACAACCTGAGTTCAATCCCTGGGAGCCAGATGGCAGAAGGAGAGAACTGATTCTTGCAAGCTGTCCTCTGAGTGCCGTATGTACATTCTGGCATGTATGTGCACACGCACACACACATAGATTAAAAAAACCTGAAAAGAAAGCACAAAGAAAATGGTCTCTAATGAACTACCAAAGAAATAAGGCAATTTCCAGACCCAAAAGGGATGAATAGCAGCCAGGTTGAAAGGGCTCATGGGGTGACTCTCAGAATGAATAAAAAGAGACCCCACAGCCAGTCACATAACTGTAAAAGTCTAGTATGCTGAAGGCAAAAGGGTTTTACATGCCTTTTATTTTTTTGGTCTTTTTGAGACAGGATCTCCCTGTAGCCCCAGCTGGCCTGGAACTCACTATGTAGAATAGAACTCACAGAGATCTGCCTGCCTCTGCCTCACGAGTGCTGGGATTAAAGGCCTGTGCCACCACACCCAGCCTTACATACCTTTTTAAAAGAGAAAAATCAGTACATGGACAGGGTATAAACTGTCCTTAGGTTTCTCAATAGTAACACTTGAACTTAGAAGCCCTAGGTTTGATCCCCAGCATCTCATAAAACTAGGAGTCGAGGTATATACTTGTAATCCCAGCACTTGGGAAGTAGTGAGGGAGGATTGGAAGTTTAGGGTCATCCTTAGCTACATAGCAAGTTTGAGGCTAGTTTGGGCTACATGAAACTCTGTCTAAAACAAAACAAAACAAAAAACAGATAGTGAACAATAGCTTCAAAATTCAAAAGGAAAATGACTTCTTATCTAAAATTCAATACCCAAGGAAAGTATCAAGAGAATGTGAGAGAGATTGTCAAGAAAGACACGTCAAACACACATACGCTCCTCCATCAAAGTAAGAAAATAAACCAAGAAAGAGGCAGGCAAGTGCACTATCAGATGTGGGAAGGCTGGAGAGGGGGTAAAAGGGGTCCCTGAGAGGAGGTAACTGGAGGGTGGGTTGATGCAGAGCTGACTCAAGGGCAGACAGATCAAGTGCTGCCATTACCATTAGTCTATATTTTAGACCTCAAGACAGAATGCCCAGGTTAGCCTTCATGTGTTTCCAGTTCCTGATCTGGAAGCCCTGAGGCTACCCGTTTCGCCCATATAAGGGTTTTCCTGGCCTACATCTGAGAGCCACAGAGGTCGAGATTGGCCACTCCATGAACATATTTTGTTGGCCGTCTGATACCTGCTCTGTTGCCAGCTTGCAAATTGGTCTCGAAAAGCCCATTTGTCCCTTGTCCCTGGTACTTCCAAAAAGGACTCTTGCAAACTCCCAGAGAAGTGGAAGCCATATGGGAACCAAAGCTTCCTAGGAACCTTCATCTTCTAGTGGACATGGGACTCCTTTTCTTGTGCAGCACCTTCGTACCTCTGGGCTTCCCAGAACTAAGCAATCATAGATAGCGGTACAGACATCACCATGGAACTGTGAGGAAAGACAAGAGGTGACTAATGTTGGAACAGTGGTTACGTGGCCCCAGGGGAAGAAGAGGCTGTGGTGAGGGTGGACACCAGGAGTCGCTTCTACTGTGCTGCCGCATTGAGTTTCTTCACCCAGGCGCTTTATGTCTATGGGTGTATTGCTTGCATGTATGTAAGTGCACCCATGTCATGCAATGCTCAAGGAAGTCAGAAGAGGACGTTGATTCCCTGGAACTGGAGTTACTAATGGTTGTTAGCCCCCATGTGGGTGCTGGGCATCGAACCTGGGTCCTCTGCAAAAACAGTCAGTGTTCTTAACCGCTGAGCCATCTCTCCAGCCCAGGAGTGCATTTTTAATTCTTTGAATTGTGTGTGTGAATTTTATATATTCCTCTGTATACATCATTTCAAAATAATCTTTTAAAAAGTCACATAAGTCAATGCAATCAGTACAGGCTCTTGGTCAGGCCCCACTCTGCTCCTGGGTCACCTTCTAGAACTGACACTTTATCGTTAGTGACTGCTGACGTCATGTGCTCAGTTCGGCTCCACAGCCCATCCTCTGGCACTCACCATGCTGAGTTGAGTTCTGCTCTGTAGAGAGAGAGTGTGTGTGTGTGTGTGTGTGTGTGTGTGTGTGTGTGTGTGAGAGAGAGAGAGAGAGAGAGAGAGAGAGAGAGAGAGAGAGAGAAGCTTGGTGAGCTCTGAGGTGGGCCCTTTGCCCTCAGGATAGATGATGAGGCCTGACCAAGTTTGAAAGAGGAGGCCACATACAGGCTGAATTTCTTGTTTGCTAAAGCAAAGGTGAGCTGGGTTGTAGGACTGTCTCTCTGAGCAAATCACATCACTGTTTTGGGAAGCATGGTGCTCAGGACTGGCTGGCTGTCAGAAGAGACCATGTTTTTCTTTCTTTTTTAAATATTTTACTATTTTTATTTTATGTGTATAAGCGTATTGCCTGCAAGTAGGTAAGTGCACCCGTGCCGTGCAATGCCCACGGAGGTCAGAAGAGGCTGTCGGATCCCCTGGGACTGGAGTTATGGACAGTTGTTAGCTGCCATGTGGGTGCTGGGATTCGAACCCAGGTCTTCTGAAAGAACAACCAGTGTTCTTAACCCCTGAGCCATCTCTCTAGCCCCCAGAGGGACTATGTTTAGGGACTGGGTGACTTCAGTTGTCACAGGGGGCAGCTCACTGCCTGTTTGGGTCCTGTGGGCTATCTCTGATTGGTTGATTTCAGAAGTTCACAACACTATCATTGACAGATTGGGATGAATGAAAGCAGGTTATGGGTTTCATCCTCCTACAGCCCAAATGCACTTTGTTGTGCCCTTGAGTTTGGAGAGCAGGCTGTTAATCTCTCTGAGCAAAGGCACGGGGGAAGGGCGGGCCACCCGGGAACAGTAAGCGCCAGGCAGACAGGTGGATCATGCTGCCAGAGCACAGTATGGTGAAGGAAAGTGGGACATGCTAAGACATGAGGCCTTTCAGGGTGTTGGGTGCTGCAGGAAAGAAAACCAGAGGCAAAGGGGAGCCACAAGCACCCTGAGCAGCAGGTGGCCAGGTTAGATTTACGAGGAAGGCATACTTGAGAGAAGGCACAGAGACCAGCAAGATTGCCGGTACTATCTGCCAGGGAGAGGTGATGATGATTTGTGTGAGACAGAGATACGGAGA